GGCGCCGCTGCCATGGGCAAGGCCGTGCGCCTCGTCGTGGACGTGGTCGCCCCGCAGGAGGGCGAGCGAAAGGGCCCCGTGTACTTCTACTGCTCCGCCGGAAAGGACCGCACCGGCTTGCTCGCCGCTCTCATCCTCTCCGTGCTCGGCGTCGGCCGCCGCGACATCTTGCGCGACTATGCTAAAAGCCGCGAGACATGGGAAAACGGGCCGTACGCCCTGCGCGAAGACTATTGCGGTATGTGTTTTGCAGAATTGTGCCTGGTGGGCCTCTCTCCTTCCCCCCTCTCAAAAATTCATCGCCTGACTTGTGTCGCGACACCGCTTGTTTTGTTTCCTTCCTCGCGCAGCCCGCCTCGAGGACGCGGGCCTCACGCCGCTGAAATGGCTCGGCGCCCCTCCGGAAGTAATGGACGAGACGCTGCGCTTCATCGACCGGCGCTACGGCTCGGTCGAGGACTACCTCGTGCAGTGCGGCTTCGGCGAGGATAGCATGAACCGCCTGCGAGCCGCCATGGCCGTGTCATAGAGGAGGCGCCGCGCGTCGTTACATGTTGTTTTGGCGCGCAACACCGACGCCCCGCGCCGTGCTCGCCCGCGTGCACGTCGCCGCGGCAGTGCATGGGGCGGTGTTTTGTTCAGTTTTGTTCCAGAGTGCCTCGCGCTGTCCCGCAGACTGCGTGAGTGATTTAGAGGGGCCCGGGCGGTGGTCGCGCGCTTGTACACTCGTCAGCAGAAGGGGTTGACGAGTTGCTTGTGCATCATGACGAGATTCATCGGCTGCAATGTAAGGTGCGAACCAAATGGCGGAAATGGGCGCTGGCCGCCGTGCGAACGGTCTTGCCGCCTTCAGGCACAACGGTTCCGGCACCATCGTTGATCGTTGAGGGGTTTGTGTGGCTGCTCGTCTCGACGGAGATAGCTTTTGAGTCATATAGTACTGTAAAGATTCAGAGCATGAGGACCTTGTACAGTTGAACGTATTTGGGTATCAAAAGTTTCATTAAAAAATGCAATAATGTTTCTTTACTTACACCTCTGGTGTACGCTGTGGGTTAACTTAATGCATACCTTATCATAATACTGTAATAGTAACAAAAAACAACAAAAAACATGAAAGACCTTTGACAAGCTCTGCAACCTCAATACTTCATCTGCGCAAGCTCAGTGCTACCCCGAACACTTCAAGTGGCGCAGCTTCATGGCACACGACCTGCGCAATTATCACAACGGCACCAACGCCGGCATCACCACCGTTACCGCACAAGCCATGCCCCAGCCTTGGAAGTCCACGCTCCCTATGTCCGCCATCGACCCGTGTTCCCGCCTGTGCCATACCGCATGTACCTTGCACATGGGTAACCCATTGCACCCCGTTTAACCCTTCTTCTCCATTTCCGCCTGTCCTCCCAACCACTCTCCCCTCCTTGCGCTCTAGCATGACGAAAGAGCCAACTTCACGTCCGCCACAACCGCGACGTCGCGCTTTTCCAGGGTTCAGAAACCGGCGTCGCGGAGACGTTCAACCGTCTCCGACCCCAGCACAGTCACCACTGCCCAAACCGTGTAAGACAATCCATGAAGAACTCGATTGCTTGCTCTCCGCCTTCTCGCTTTTCCGCCCAATGATCCCCGACCAATTCAAGCTATTTGGCGTGCTCTATGTCAACCCTGACCCGGACTGCCGCCATGAGCCGCCTGCGGTTACGATCGCCAACCTTAAGAAAATTTGCAAAGACTATCAGGACGAGCATGCAGCTAATGGTGCAACCACCGAGAAAAAAGAAGTAGTCGATAATCTCCTTGATGATATGGAAAGGAACGTCGAAGCAGCGCCAGTAGCCTTTCAGGTTAGTCAGGCTAGTGCTACGGAGGACTCTGTTCGTGTCGCTTTGGACGCCAGGTTGCTCGGTGTCGTTACAGCTCAGGGGAATCGCGAAAGGACAAGCACCGCCTCACGCGACGTGTCCCTCACTGTCTCAAACTGCGAAAAGTATCATGGCTACAAGCTACAGAAGCTGCTCTGGCAGAACGCGGAGTTCTTTTTCACCAAGATTCTCGAGATCATCGAAACCGGTTTCCGCTTCCGGGATGGTCAGCGAAGGATGATGGCTATTGTCACCAAAAAGATTATCGCCGATATTACTATTTCTAATGAGGAATCCAATCAGAGAGATACCGGCGCCGGTGTAGGGGGACCTGAGGGCACTGTCACTTTGCAAGCCGACTACCGTGTCTCAGATGCTGCAGCCAACAACAAGCAAATATTGGGTGGCATTGCCGGAATTCACTTTCTCATGTTTCCAATCGAACGCTTGGACGAACATACGTTTCGTATTTACCCCGGCCTCCTTGTCGACGCGGAACGACGTGAGGATTCTGCAAACAATTCCAGCACTCGAAACGCCTACGAAAAGTGGTATCAGAATGGTGCGAGCGAGGACATGGACGCCAACAGAACTCAAACCTTCAACATGCCAATGAACGCCACACGTAATTCGACATTACCCGCCAGTCTTGTTCTCAGTGCAGAGCGTCAAAGAGACAATGGCACACCGTCGTCGAGGAGTGAAAACATTCTACGTGAGCAGATAGACGGAGGAGTCATCTCCGCGGAGGACCTTGTGGATGGAGACAGTGTTCTGTTGAGACCTCATTTGAACCGCATCCCATACGTTGATATCAATCTGAAGCCTACGCTCAATGAGTTTGCCATGCGTCAGGTAACTCTCGCCCTAAAATTTCAGAGCGAAGCAGAACAAGACAAAAACATCGACACCTCATTTCAAAGTCGGCATCGTTGCACTGCTCTTCGTCTTTTCCGAAGTGCATTACGGAAGAGATGTTATGGATCAACTATATACAGTCTAGAAGGTCTTGGGAATGTCTACAGTCGCAGCTCTAAGGCAGCATCGAATGAACCAGCAGCGAGGGCGTTCAAGTTCTGTGCAGTAGTTCTTCGGAACCCTCTCGAGAGTTATCGTATATGGCTCCAAATCCTGATGGAAAAGGCTCGTCTGCGGTATGAGAATCGACCGGAAGCTGTCATCGCTCAAATGGTTGCAACTCCAAGTCCCTGGTCACTGATGCAATTCTTTCTTTTTAAGGTGCCTATCGAAGCGATGTTTCATCTCGGTCTTTTGCTGGAAGAAGGTGCCGAGGGAGTGAAGCGAGACCCAGTACGAGCTGTAAAGCTATACGAGCGGGCGATCGCGGAGCGTGGTGACATCGAAGCGATGTTTCATCTCGGTAATTTGCTGCGAAAAGGTGCTGATGGAGTAGAGCGAGACGCGGTACGAGCCATAAAGCTGTATGAGGGCGCCATCGAAAAGGGTAACATCGACGCGATTGTTAATCTTGGATATTTGCTGCAGAATGGTGCCGATGGAGTGGAGCGAGACGCGTTACGAGCTATGGAGCTTTATGACAGCGCCATCGAGAAGGGTGACGACGTCCTCGCGATGAATAATCTTGGTCTTTTGCTGCAAGGAGGTGCCGAAGGAGTGAAGCGAGACGCGGTACGAGCTATGGAGCTTTATGAGAGCGCCATCGAGAAGGGTGACAACGTCCTCGCAATGAATAATCTTGGTAATTTGCTGAAAGAAGGTGGCGAGGGAGTGGAGCGAGACGCGGTACGAGCTATGGAGCTTTATGAAAGCGCCATCGAGAAGGGTGACAACGTCTTTGCGATGTTTAATCTCGGTCTTTTGCTGCAAGAAGGTGCGAAAGGAGTGGAGCGAGACGCGATACGAGCTATGGAGCTTTATGAGAGCGCCATCGAGAAGGGTGACAACGTCCTCGCGATGAATAATCTTGGTAATTTGCTGAAAGAAGGTGGCGAGGGAGTGGAGCGAGACGCAATTCGAGCTATGAAGCTTTATGAGAGGGCCATCGAGAAGGGTGACGACGACTGTGCGATGTTTAATCTCGGTCTTTTGCTGCAAGAAGGTGCGAAGGGAGTGGAGCGAGACGCGATACGAGCTAGGGAGCTTTATGAAAGCGCCATCGAGAAGGGTAACATCGACGCGATGGTTTGTCTCGGTAATTTGCTGCGAAAAGGTGGCGAGGGAGTAGAGCGGGACGCGGTACGAGCTATGGAGCTTTATGAGAGCGCCATCGAGAAGGGTGACAACGTCCTTGCAATGAAAAATCTTGATGTTTTGCTGCAAATAGGTGCGGAGGGAGTGAAGCGAGACGCGGTACGAGCTCGGGAGCTTTATGAGAGGGCCATCGAGAAGGGTGACAACGTCCTCGCAATGAAAAATCTTGGTTATTTGCTGCAAGAAGGTGCGGAGGGAGTGGAGGGAGACGCGGTACGAGCTATGGAACTTTATGAAAGCGCCATCGAGAAGGGTGACAACGTCCTCGCCATGAAGAAACTTGGTTATTTGGTCTGAAAAGGTGTGCCAACGGAGTGAAGAGTAAGGCCGTACGAGCGGTGGAGTTGCCATGACACAAGTATTGGAACTCCTCCTAAGTCGGATGCAAGTCTTTCTTCGGAAGGTTCCTCATATTTCAATATCCCACGATACTGGAAGGTGTCTTGGGATGTTCCCGCAGGCCCTTCTCGAGAAGGAATGCATGTGCAACCGAGCCGCCGCCCTCATCAATACTGAAAATAAAGGCAACTGGCAGACTTATCCGTTTCAGGAATCCGACCTCCACCGTAATTAGAAAGAAAGATCCTGTCATTCAAAATGGCACCGAAAAGAAGGCCAGTAAGATAGAGCTCCCCTGTTGTTACCAATGCCGACCCTGTGCTCATCGTGGACACTCATCCGTGTGTTACCCGCGCTCCGCATTAAGTGCATGCAGAGTGGCAACTTTCCTTCGCGGCCAACGTGTTCGATGCGGCAAGCGCCTGGACGTGGCACGACTCAACGCGCTTATGCCGAACTTTTCTGCCATCTGAAGAGTTGCTCAATTTCGCCATCTCAAGCATATCAAAGATAAGCAGGCGAAAGACTGGAAATGACTGCCTGCTGGTATACCTTGTTCTGCACTACGAGCGAGCGTTGAACCAGGTTCCCGTAGGACCGCGGAAGAATTAGAAAATAAGAATCCGCAGACACATTGAAGAGGGTGCCAACAGCGATTCTACCAGTTTGAAAACCTTTAACACCACCTCATCGCAACACGGCGATATGCAGAAGGTCGGAGAGCGTGGTGCGACAGTCCCTAGATTTGACAAATCCGAAGAATGGACCATTCCTGCCCTCCGCTTTTTCATGCCCCATCATCGCCGGCAAGATATTTTTCCGTCTGCGCAATCGACGTCGGTTCCCTCTTCCATTCGGGACTTGAAAATGAAGAGCTACCCACTCACACATGACCAAATCTGCCAACGCGAAAGTCGAAAGACCCGTAGCGCAGTGTGCAATATATTTACTAGGCTATGTGTGTTTTTCCAGCTCTGTTGGTCTGCGATGGAAGACATGCACGATCTGAAGAGTGATTCTCACCCGTCTGGCTGTAATCGCACATTATCATTGTTGGTAAAAGGTGACTGAGGAGGTTTGCATCAGAAGATTGATAGTTGTTCAATGCAGCCTCAGAAAAATGGTGCGATCCTTACCATAGTCCTTGTAATCTTGAATAAGGGAGCAGAGTGAACGTGTGGGGTGAGAACCAGGGTTGCTCGGACATGTACGTAAAATTTTGCATGTCCGGAAGGTCAGGCCAGGCAGTCCCAAACGGAGCCCAGTAAGAAGGGGCAAGGGGTCATGTCACCCCACTTTTTTTAATTGATAAGCTACCCTTCGAAAGGTACAGTGCGCGAAACTGCAATAAATACACCCATCGAGGCACACATGAACAACACTCCCCAACCCCCTTTTAAAGAATCGTGTGTTGTACAGTACCATGGCCAAGCAGTAGAAACACATGTGAAGACTGTGACGAAGAGAGTCTCGTGCCTCGCTCCGTCCCGCGCCAGCGGGCCGAGCGACGGCGAGCTTTTATTCTGTTCTGATGGTGCTACCTACGGCAATTGGTGTGGCCTGGCCCGTGGCATGGCTTGTGGGTCATCACCTGCTACTGGAGCATTGGGGCGGATGGGGCGATTGGCCCGTGGATCACGCGTCGATGATCTTCATTTTGTGGGTCATCACAGTCCCCCTGACGCGCGGTTTGCGGGTCAATGAGCGTGGGGTTGGAAGTGGATTTGTTTGCTGCGTGGGTATATCCCAAGGTTGGAACGGTGTTCTTCGAACAGTGCAGGTTTCAGTGGTTTGGTCATGATGTCGGCGTACATGCGCCGACTTGGCACGTGTTTGAGGGACAAAGCTTGGTGTTGTGTGAGGTCTTGCAGGAGGTGGTAGCGAATGTCGATACATTTACGCCGTTTTATCCGGGCTGTGTTGCACGCGATGGTGATTGCTGCGATGTTGTCCATACACATGGTGGTGGGCTGTTCTTGTGTGTATCCCAGCTCTGTGAACATGTTGCGGAGCCAGACGGTGTCTGGCGCAGTTTCGGCGGCTGCTATATACTCGACCTCGCACGTGGACTGGGCTACCAGTGGTTGCTGCTTGGAACGCCAGTGCACTGTGGCGCCGTGCACTTGGTATACTGAACCGGAGATGGTTTTTCTTGAGACGGGGTCATTGGCGAAGTCAGCGTCAGCGTATGTTATGAGGAGGGGTGCCGTGTTGTGGTGAGGGAACAGTAAACCGTGATTCTTTGTGCTGATGAGGTATCTGACGGTCCTTTTGAGGAAGTTCCAGTGGCGTTGAGTGGGATATTGTGTTGCTCGTGCTAGCGCTGCTGTGTCGTAACTGATGTCTGGTCTGCTGCAGTCCGCAATGTAGCGGATTTCACCAAGTGCCGCACGATATGGTGCGGTGATTTTGTCATCTGCAGTTTCTGTTGGTGTCAGTGGGTCTACGCCGGCACCGTCTGTGTATGGCGTTTGATGTGGTATGGAGTCTTCCATGTTTAGGTATTGCGCTACGTGCTGGATGTGCTGTCGCTGGCAGACGTGAATGCCTGTTGGTGTGTATGAGATGTTCCAATTGAGGTACGATGTTGGCTTGCCAAGCCTTTTGACTTTGTATTTGACTTGGAGTGTGTTGTAGAATTCGTCATTCAGCTTTGTGGTGCTGGCAGCTGCCAAAAAGTCGTCCATACTTACTGCGATGAGAATGATGTCGTTCCGCATGCGCTTGAAGAATAGGGAAGGATGGGATTTGGTTTGAGTGTTACCGTGCTGTTTGAGGTGTTGGTACAGTTTGGTTGAGTACGTATGGGCGGCTGGTGGAGTGCCGTATATGTTGCCTTTGAGCTGCCCTGCGGCAGCTTCGTGCTTGTAAGAACCGTCAAACCGTTTGGGTTGCCAGACGTATACCGGCGTTGTGTGTTCATACGCCTCGTGCAAATATGCACCCGTGATGTCGAAGTGTTCAAGGTGCATGTCGTGCGCTGCGGCTAATGCGAAAATGATGCGTACGGTTGACTTTTCTGCCATGTATGTGGCAACTTTGAGTGGGTCGTAATGAATGTCCGGAATCATGAGGTCGCCGCGCACTGAGCATCGTGCCTTCCTAGTGACTGCGGTTGGGTCGTTGGTGGTTGGTTTGTATCTGTATGTCATGGTCATCGGGATGATTTCGTTTCGTGGCGGTAGGTGTTTGTGTGGATCCCAGTCGATTGCTTGCGTGAGATCCAGCTGTTCTAATCCTGCGTTGTGTGCTTTGCCCCACTCGGTTGCGTCAGGGTATTTTCGCCCTTGTTGTCGTGTGCGTGGTGGAGGTGTCGCGGGTGTGATGGTGAATGGGATGGTTGTGCGGCGTTGTGTGGTGGTGAAGGCAGCGCTTGTACTGAGCGCCGGGTCGTTGCGCTTGGTATAGGGTGTGAAGTTGCTGTAACGTACAGTCTGGTAGTTGCGTGTAGCAATGTTGTAGACTTTGACATGTGTGACATCGATGCCGTACATGTATCGCACTGTGTGCGCGCTTGTTTGGAGTTTGTGTTTGGGTTTTTTGAGGATGGGGACCGAGCCGAGTTGACCAAAGATGAAGAGGTTGTCGATCGCCGGCGGCGAGCCATGCCAGAGGGTATGTGGGAGGTTTTGTACTACGTGATGGTAGCTTAGATTGTACTTGAATACAGCATCGCGTACGGCGTCTTCCCAATACGCTTGGGGTAGCTGGCTGTGTGTTAGTGCGGCGCGAGCTGAGTTCATGATGGTCCTGTTAATCCGTTCGGCGAGTGCGTTTTCCTGGGGTGTATAGGGAGTGGAGGGCTTGAATTTGATGCCTCGCTGAGATAGGAACTGTTGTACGTATTTGGAGTTGTACTCCCTTGCATTGTCGGTTGTTACGATGAGCGGGTATTTGCCTGTTGAGCCCGCGATGGACTGGATGGCTGTGGTGAGGCTGGGGGGTACTTGGGCGCGGGTGGAGAGGAATGCTACTACTAGGTAGCGTGTTGCTGTATCCAGGATGGTCATTAAGTATTTGCTGTTCTGCATGGATTGTGGTGATGTGGGACCGCAAACATCAGATGGCAGGCTTTGCCCTGCAGCGGTCGTATGCATCGCACGTTTGTGGGGGGTGGCGGCCGTCTTGCCATCGATACAACCGGAGCAGTATATCTTGGGTGAGTTGGTTTGCAGTGTGCGCGGTAGGATGGGATTAATCCATGTTTGGCCATTTTTGCTATGGATCTGGGGCGTAGGTGCCCAAGCTTGAGATGCCATTCGTGCATTTGTTTGCGCGCGGCGGTTGGTGGTGTTGTTGGCGGCTCGTGTGCCGCTGTTCTGATACGGTGAGGTGATGGTGTGGGTATGTTGACTTTGGTTGGTTTGGTGCGGGGTGTTGCTTTTGGCGGGTTAGTGGGTTTGGAGGTGAGGGGTGTGGACTTGGGGCGTGGTGGTGTTGGAGGTGATGGGGGCTTATTTTGTTTTTGTTGTTGTCTGTTGTAGGGTGTGCCTCGGGCGGCTAGCACGTTGCCTATGGCCCGTTTGGGAGACGCGTGCGTGGTGCCGGTGTCGGTGCGGTAGAAACCTTGATGGTATGTAGCTTTGAGTAGCGGTGATGGTAGCTTCGTTGGCGCGTGGAGGGTTGCTTCGTTTTGCGTGAATGTGACATGGCCGTGGCGTGTGAGGTCATGGACGGACAGTAGGTTGTGGCGTAGGAGAGGTGCGCAAACTGCATTGGTGTCGACGCGTTTAGGCGTCGTGGATATTGTCATCTTGCCGTGTTGCGTGATGGGGCAGTGTTGGCCCGTGGCCGTGCGGGTTAGTTTCCCGGTGGATGGGCGGAGTTCATGGTGTGGATGGGTAACGTGTGTGGGGTTAGCGGCGGAGTCTAGGAGGAAGTGGAGCTTACCTGGGGGGTGTTGGTGTCCGCGGTCTGTGCTGCTATGATTTGTTCTAGTTGCTCGATTCTCTGTTGTAGTTCTTGGGTTTTCGTGTCGTTGGTGTTGTTGTGTGTGTGGATGTCCCCCTGTTGTTTCATGTCGTCTTCGTAAATACTGTTGGCGTTGTATGGCTGGCGGCGGATTCCTTGCAGTGTGTAGCACTGCTCAGTGTTGTGGGTGATGCTGCCGTGGTGACTGCAACACTTGCCGGTCCATCCTTTGGGGCGCTGGTGGTTGCGTGGTGTCCAGGGTTGCCTCGGGCTGCGTCTTTGCTGCGGTGTCTGCTGGTAGGGTTGGCGTGGCTGGTACTGCTGCTGGGGTGGTTGTTGGGGCATGATCGGTGGCTGTTGTGTCGGTTTGGGGAATGCGGGTTGCTGTGGGGTAGTGTCGTGTTGCTTGTTCTGCATGAGCATTACCTGGCGGACATGGTTGGTGAACTGGCGGATTGAGATGTGTGTGTCGACGAATGCAGAGAAATCAGAACCAGGTAGGAGTTTGTTAGAACGTGCCTCGGCGTCGAGGACTTCGTGGGTTTCTATATGCGCATCGTGGATGTGTTCGCGGAGTAAGGTGCAGATGTGGCGGGGGATTCGCGGAGAATGGTGGGTGGGAGGAGTGGTACGATCGCGGGCGGGAGGCTAGGGATGATGAGCTTGCGGAGCTGGTCGGCTTGTTTGGCGTGTTGCTGCGCGATCGCTGGGTCTGTGGTGGGTGCTGGGTCGGTTTCAAGAATGTGTGCCGCTTCGATCGTCCTCGCGTGGAGTAGGAGGGCGTCGTACCAGTACGTGTAGTTGGTTTCGTTGATGTTGGGGAGTTGTTCGAGTGTGTTCATTGTGCGCTGTTGTGTTGTGTCTTTTGGTTGATGTTGATCGTTTTCGTGGAGTTGTGTTTGGCGTAGTAGCTGGTTGATGTGTTCGTTGATTTCTTTGTTGATGGCGCGTTGTTTAGCGCGCTGTGTTCGTGTTGTGTGTTTGTTGGTTGGTGGATTGTGGGCGCGGGGATCGGTGGGGGGCAGTGGTTGCATAGGGGCCCATGACCTGTGACGAAGAGAGTCTCGTGCCTCGCTCCGTCCCGCGCCAGCGGGCCGAGCGACGGCGAGCTTTTATTCTGTTCTGATAGTGCTACCTACGGCAATTGGTGTGGCTTGGCCTGTGGCCTGGCTTGTGGTTCATCACAAAGACCAATTGAACTCCAAGAATACCGTTCTCAAGCTAGACCTCTAAAACCGCGCAAAATTAGCATAAATACACGAAACTCCATATAGCACAGTACCTTGAAGGCGCCAAAACATGAGCACAATGCACTATATAAGGCTTTAAACAGTAGCAACTCGGCTTGTAAGAGTAGCTTGTGCAACTGCCGGTGATCTTTCCAACTATTACGACAGCTACTATGCCCCGCGGGCCTGCTATTACCGACATTGAGCGCGGCCAGATATTGGCGCT